TGGCCCTCCTGACTCCTCCCTGGGGTAGGTCCAGTGCCCATTTTCTCCACATACACCAGAGAGTTGGAGATTCATCATGAAGGAAACACGAGGCTAAGATGTGTGACTAGTAATCATGACTAGCCCTGTGATAGGTTCGGTTTTGTGCAAATTTATTTTCCCCATTTTATGGTAGAACTTGGAAACCCAATGTTGGAAGAGTTCTATTGCACTGCATTCTCCATGACTCATGGTCTTTCGGGTTTTGCTTTCATTTTTGTCACTGTAGAAGGTGGGGTGTGTCTAAGACTATGCATTTCATAGAGTTTAGTGGTCTTACCTCCAGATTGGCAAGGTTCACATCTTGGCTCCACCATTTGCCAGCTGTTTCTAGAATTTTATTTCTAGAGTTTAAATTCTATTTCTAGAATTTTAATTTCTGAGTCAAAATTCTAAGGTAATTGCCACATGAGGCGCAGGCTTCCCAGTGAAGTCCCCTGGACTGGATATTTCCTAGTTTTTAACAATGAAGAGTAAAAATACTTGAAGCCTTGCCCAGTTCTGCCTTGAACCTCTCAAACGAATTTGACCTTTGTCCGTGAACTTCTCTGGCTTTAGCTGAGGTTTCACACTTGATAAGTGGTTCAGGGACTCAGAGAAGAAGAAAACATCTGCTCTCAAGTTCATTTTAAGTGCAACCACTGTTCCTCCAGCTCAGAGGTGCGTACCATGGGGACGAAGATTGTTCGCCTAGGTTCTCTCCCAGGACTGTTCATGTACACCTTGTTCTTCTTGAGGAAGATTAATGCCCTATGGCTTGGCGTGGCCTCATCTGCCTGAATCAAGTATTCCCTTGGCTTATAGTGGCCTTTCCTGTTCTCCTCCCTCAAAAAGGACAACATCTGACATCAAGCCCAGGCTGCCTTCCTCTGCATTGTCCTGCCCCATCCGTGGGGCCTAGAAAATCCATCCATCCTCTCCTATTCCATCATTATGTGGCAAAATTGATCACCTTCCCCACCACACTAAGCCTCTCCTTGGCTGGATCAGAAACATGTCCCTTAGGAGTAAGGGTCTTAGAAGAGTTTCAGAGTTTTCAACCCCAAGTATAAATCAGTTTTGGACCCACTTTTGCTTAAATGGCTCCTGAATCCTTTCTCTGCTAGCTCGTGAGATGTCAGAGAAAAGATCGCTCTCTCCCCCTCCGCTTGCGTCTGTGGAATCCGGCTTTCCTAAGCAACAATGCATTTGGGAACAAAGAATTCTTTGTATCGTTCCAATGGCACAACATAGTCATTCTGTGCTTGGCCTCTCCCACAGGTGATGGAACTAAAGAAGCAATTTATCCCAAGATAAATTTGTAAGTTTTAAAGATATGATTTAGGGAACAGCCGTGTGCTAACTTAGGTATGAGTCTTTAAGCTGCTTTCTACCTGATTCTGGGTTGCTCACAGAGAACATCTTCTAGGGACTTGGAGATGACGTAATTTCAAATATGACTATTTGTAGCAGGATCTGCTCGTGGAAGTCAAACTGGCTCCTTCTGTTTCTTCCTTTCTCCCTTTTCTTCCTCTTTCCTCTCTTTCTCTCCTTCCTCCCCCCCTTCCTTCCCCTTTAATAATAAGCTGCTCAGAAGAGTCTAGAGGAGCCTGGAAGAGGCAGCAACCTGACTTTTGAGGACTCTTTCAGACCAGCTGTGTCCGGGCCTCGCCAAGAACGCCCACACAGGCTGCTGGCTGTGATGAAACAGGAAAGGCTTCATGTGTAGTGTACATGCTCCCCAGATACTGACTGGGTGCCGGCCGGGTGAGACAGACGCTCCAACGACAGCTTCATCGACTGGACAAATGCCCAATCGAGACTCCCGTCCACGTTCTCTTGGGGAGTCCGCATAATGGAAAAATCAGAGGTTGGGAAATCAGAGGAACTGGTTTCCAGCCCCAGCCCTGGCATTGACTCACTGGTCCCTGCACGAAACATTGTAAATTCTCCAAGCCTCAGTTTCTTCACACAGAAAATGGTCATAATGATTCCCTGCCAAATAAGATACTATACGAAACAGCATTTTGGTAGCTAGAGGTGCAGAACAAAAGGGCTGCCTCCCACTTCCAGAGTCTGCGTAGGCTCCACTCCCAGGGACCCCAGTGATCGTCTTATGAAATTGAGCTGTCACCTCTGTGCAGGATCCAGCCAGCGCTGGCGCTGCGCAAGTGTGACACCGAGGCCCCGTCAGCAGGATCAGGCAGGACGCTTGAGAGGGAGACTCACAGGACTGGTGCAACCGGTGAAGGTTCCTGGAAAAAGAAACATGAACCTGTAAATGGGTATAATGTGTCAGTATCGTTGGTGAAAAAGGGAAATTAGGTTATAACAGTGTCTGTGGAAGCACCATGGAAAAGGCACAGATATGCTGTGGATGCCGGACACAATTAGGATCACCGTAGGATACAAAATAGCACAGGGTGCAGAGCGTGCATTCTGCAGCCAGAACGTCTGGTTTGAATCCAGCCTCTGTCATTTCTTTGTACGGTGTCTTGAGAAAGTCACTCAATGTCTTGCTCTGCCTCAGTTTCCCTCTGATATAAAAGAGGATGATAGGGTAACTATTCATAAGGTTGTTGTAAGGATTAAATGATTTGATTCATATGAAATGTTCAGAATGGTGCCTAGCACACAGCAGGTACCAAGTAAATATGAGCCATCATTGTTATGATTTTTATCAATGACTTTTGGGTGATTTATTGCTAAGAAGCTGAGGCAGCACGGTGCAGCAGACAAGTAGGGTGTTGGAATTAGTATGATGTGACTTAACCACGTTTCCTCAGGAAGTCTGCCTAATTCTCATTTTATCTATTTATAAAGTGGGGGAAATAATAATAATAAATGTGATTTGGTGAATATTCTAACCATTATTGTGGCAAGTGGCCCAGTGAGATAGTCTCCATGTCCCCTGAGGACACATTGCTCAACACAGCTGCCTGGGGTGGGGTCCCATTTGGCTGAGGAGCCACTAGAAGGGGGAGAGAGGACCAGGAAGGCATTGTCCTCGGTTGACTCAGTGGGGAGGCAGAGAGCCTGGCCCAGGAGGGTGGAGACAAGAGTGTTGGCCCCCGTAGATGGGCCAGTGAAGTGCAGCAGTGACCAGCTCTGGTGCCTTGAAACCTCAAGGAGCATGTCAAACAGGTCACAGCCAGAGCCA